AGCCGTGTGTCGCGCTCATTCAGCGCCTCGTTTCGATTCGACGGCTTTCAGCCTCACCCTGCTTCATTCTACAACGTTAATAAATCATTAGCTCATCCATGAACATGATAAAATGATAAAATGGTAATTACTTAGTTACTTATTTGGAAAGTAATGCATTATGTTACTTTTGCGTTACTTCTTGTCACCTGAGCTGGGCTTATTTTTTATCTTCTGGCGACTATAAATCCCTTTCACAGCAAAAGTGAGATGAATAATCCTCCGTCTCTGTCTCTGTCTCTGCACTCACTCCTGATTTCTCTCAACATGAGGACAGGAGAGCCGTCAGTCGATACGTGGAGAACAGAGGAACTGCTGTTACTTATTTGAACCCAGATATTTTCTTGTAAATTAAAAAGTAATGCATTACTTTACTACTGTAGTTACTTGGGAAAAAAAGTCATCCGATTATGTAACTTCCATTACTTGTCATGTGTTACGCCCATTACACTGGACCGGAGCCGTGAAGATAATTTGTGGATTATTGTGATGTTTTTATCAGCTGTTTGGACTCTCATTCTGACGGCACCCATTCACTGCAGAGCATCCATTGCTGAGACACTGACGCAATGACACATGACAACTCATCCTAATCTTGTATAGCGTGAGGATGAACACATTTTCATTTTAGGGTGAACTACTCCTTTATCTCCATGAAGAACTCATTGTGTCAAATGCTCAGCTTTAGTTTGATTTGCAGTGATGTGGCAGTCAGTGATAATTTCCCTGTATCTGCACTAGACTGTGTTTCTCTGCTCCTGTAGGATTACAGTGGTTAGTTACCTCCATTAGCTCAGGGTCAGTCAGAGGTCAGCGCAGGAGTCGCTCTGTCCGGCTGTTAAATATCAAAGCTCATACTCGGCGAGTCTGTACATTTTCAACATAATTACCACGTTTACTGGGTTTAGGGGTTTCTCGACTGGTGGCATCAGGCTAATGATAGTCGTAGAGCAGCGTTTTATTGATGCACAAACCACACATGTAATCAAACACTCGTGTATCAGCATTAATCGGAGTTTAATTCCAGAGGATCTGCATCTGTGGACGAAGGCAAATGACAGCCGTGGTTTAGTAAGTCCATAATCTGCCCATAAGCAGAGGCTAAATATAAGACAAATGAGACGTGATACGTGTATTAGCTGGAAACGTCCGCTCCGGTTAGCGATGCTGAGGTTTCTGTGGGTGAATGAAGCGGAGCACTGCTTTATTTATTTTATTGCAAACAGCAGCATCTGATTAATAATGGTGAAAAAATACTAGCGGAGACTGCAGTGGGTTTCCAATCACATGTTCTCTCACTGCAAAAAATGATTGTCTTCTTCAGTAATCTTGTCATGTTTTCCTGCACAAATAGGAGAGCAAGACAAGTTTATTTATACACAGTGGTAATTCAAAGTGCTTTACAGAAAAAGTTTTCATAAGAAATATAAAGTTCTACATTACTGTAAATATGAGGGACATAAAAGGAAATTCATAATCGACCGGAAAATGCATAAAAAAATGCAAAAATGAAAGGAGGATTAAAAATCTAAACATTCCTTGATAAATATAAATATTAATTAGAGAAACACACAACTTAATATCTTAAGTCATTTTACTTCTTAAGTCACCGAGTATTTATTAAATCTTGTTTTCTGAAAAATGTATCAGAATTTATGCATAAAACAAGAAAAATATCTGCCCAATTGGGTCGGAAAAATTCAAAGGGAAAACAAGACTCCATCAGCAGATATTTGTTCTTGTTTTAAGCATAAACTCAATTTATTTTTCAGAAAACAAGACTAAATATTTGACGGCATTTTGCACATCAAGTAAATATATCTTGATTTATGTTTAGATATTGTACTGGAAAACTAGACACAAATATTAAAATCTTTTCTTTAGTGTTGTTTTATGGTTGGATCAGACTGAAAGGGATTATTAGAGATAAATCATTGTCTGTAATGGTTATAAACACAAAGATGCTTTGATGAGACAATATCAATAAGGATCAGTTTTTATCGACTTCAAAGTAGTTAATGCTCACAAATGGACTAGTTAATGATGTCTTTAGCGTGGCAGGATCTCCTGCGCAGAGTAACGTCTGCGCAAACATCTGTGCCGCCGCTGCGTTTATTTATCCAGCACGCGCCTCTCAGCTCCAGCTCAACATCTCTAATATAAATATTACGGTGTATGGAAAAGAAACTCTGTTTAAGATGTGCCATTTGCTCTAATAATCGGAGCTCTGCTGAAAGACACAGGCCGCTTTCTGGGTTCTGGATGTCTGTGGAGCATTTCCACCTGACGGCATGAATGCGCTCAGTATGCAACGGGCCCTTAAGAAAACAAGCACGCTAAAAGCCTGAGCTCAGGAAGTTTTGAATAAAAGCTTTTAGGAGGTTAGCGGCTCTTATCTCAGCCGTCCATCGGCTCTTCGCTCTCTGCTCATTGACTTTGGCGAGTTCTCAACCACTCGCTCATCGATCAATACGGCCATTCAGCACTGCATTTCCAGTGTAACTCTGCTGAACTAGTACACAACACATAGTACACAACACATAGTACACAACACAGTGCACAGCGCATAGTACACAGCGCATAGTACACAGCGCATAGTACGCAGCGCATAGTACACAGCGCATAATGCACAGCGCATAGTACACAGCGCATAATGCACAGCGCATAGTACACAGCGCATAATGCACAGCGCATAGTACACAGCGCATAATGCACAGCGCATAGTACGCAGCGCATAGTACACAGCGCATAGTATGCAGCGCATAGTACACAGCGCATAGTACACAGCGCATAATGCACAGCGCATAGTACACAGCGCATAATGCACAGCGCATAGTACGCAGCGCATAGTACGCAGCGCATAGTACACAGCGCATAATGCACAGCGCATAGTACGCTGCGCATAGTATGCAGCGCATAGTACGCAGCGCATAGTACGCAGCGCATAGTACACAGTGCATAATGCACAGCGCATAGTACGCTGCGCATAGTACACAGCACATAGTACACAGCGCTTAATGCACAGCGCATAGTACGCTGCGCATAGCATGCAGCGCATAGTACGTAGCGCTTAGTACGCAGCGCATAGTACACAGCGCATAGTACGCTGCGCAAAGTACACAGCACATAGTACACAGCGCATAATGCACAGCGCATAGTACGCAGCGCATAGCACATAGTACGCAGCACATAGTACGCAGCGCATAGTACGCAGCGCATAATGCACAGCACATAGTACACAGCGCATAATGCACAGCGCATAGTACGCAGCGCATAGCACATAGTACGCAGCACATAGTACGCAGCGCATAGTACGCAGCGCATAATGCACAGCACATAGTACACAGCGCATAATGCACAGCGCATAGTACGCAGCGCATAGCACATAGTACGCAGCACATAGTACGCAGCGCATAGTACGCAGCGCATAGTACAATGCAGTGTTGCAGAAATGAACTAGATAGTTGTGACTGTTTCTTGAAACCATGGTCACACCATCCTTTGAATCACATTGATTCCACAATCAATGAACCATTACCATTAACCATGTCATTAATGACATCACTAAAAATAAATAAGCAAGCCCAGCTCAGGTGACAAAAAGTAATGCAAAAGTAACAATGCATTACTTTCCATAAAAAGTAACTAAGTAATGCAATTAGTTACGTTTTAATGGAGTAACTACATATTGTATTACTTTGAAAAGTAACTTTCCCCAACACTGTAAATTAATTATTATATAATTGGAGTATCTTGCTAATTGTGCCAAAAGCATGATCTCTATAAGTCCTGGTTATATTGACATGAATCTGTGTTTAACCGCTGGTCGAGAGCTGTAGTTCAATCACGCAAGTTTGTGCCGCTGTTTGTGAACACTCGTTGATACTATAGCTGCGTCCGAAATCGCATACTTCCATACTATATAGTATTCGAAAAACAGTAGGCGAGAAGTACCCGGATGACCTACTACTTCCGCCCGAATTCCGTAGCATGCATACGATGGACACTTTACTATCCCATGAGGCCACGCGAGAGGAGGCGCCATATTCGAGAACGGCGGAAGGCGGCGACGCGGCTCTCTTCAAGTGTAAGTACCTCAGGGAAAAACCTTGTTCACTGTGGTTAAATTGCACTTGTTTAACATGATCTAAGTGAACGGCTGACTTATTGAAAGTTTAAACATTGTAAGTCGATTAGATGATTTCGTGAGTCGGCTGTAAAAAGATGTTTAATCGCCGATGAAAGTGGTAAGAATATCGTGAAACATTGCTGATGTTCGCAGTAGTGAGGGCTCTTTAAATTTAGGCGCTGTTGTGGAGACGCATGTCACGTGACAACGTCAACATGGCGGATGTAGTACGTCCGAATTCCATTCATACTACTCGCATTCATACTATATAGAACGTACTTTTTTAACGGTCGAGTAGTACGTTCAAATTCAAATGTAGTACCTACTAAGCAGTATGCGATTTCGGACGCAGCCTATGATTTTATTAAACTGAGTTCACTGGACTAACTTGATTCAGTGTTACAGATGCATGATGGGTGATTGAAATCAGTGGTTATTATAGAATAAACCATCACGATCCTCCAGATTAGCTACTGATGGTTAATAATAATAATAATAATAAAGACAGCATTCTGACATTAGCAGCATCTGATCTGACTGAACACCTGAACCTCATCGAGGGGAAACACACACACACACATACACACACACACACACACACACACACTAGTGATCTTGATCCATCAGAGAGTCTCTGACAGGAAGTTCATGATTCCCAGAGGCAAACAGGACTGTCATGTGACCAGCTCTTCCTGTAACAAGACAGACATGAAATATCATTGCAGTAATCTAACATTACAGACCGCTTCCGCACCGCAGGCTGTGTGTGTGTGTGTGTGTCAGACTAACTAACTTGAGTTCAGAGACTGAAGGTGGAGTGTTTGTGTTTCAGGCCACTTTCTGGGAAACAACACTGTGATTGACGTCCTGCGGAGTGAAGGTTATGAGGTGGAGCACACGCCTGCTGGACAGACGCTACACAGGTAACACACACTATAACACACGCAAACTCACGCACACTGGTTTCCATGTTTTATAGCTACATTCCATAGGCATAATGGTTTTTCTACTGTACAAACTGTATTTTCTCTCCTCTAACCCTAAACCCAACCCTCACACTAAACTACAGGTGTTTTAGACTCTCAAAACACTTCATTCTGTGTGATTTATAATCTTGTTTCCTCATGGGGACCAAAACATGTCCTTCAGCTGCCTGAAGAACAAACAATCACTCTGATAATTAATAAATATCAGTAACACTTTACAGTATGATTCCATTTAACATTAGTTAACATGAACTAATTCTATAAATACTTCTAAAGCCAGCATCAATCTTAGCTACTGTTAATTTTAACATTTACTAATACATAATTCCAAAGTTGTCTCTCTTAAAATATTTAATGGAGCTGAGCTGACATGAATTAACAATGAATAATGAACTAACATTAACAAATGTGTTGCTCATTGTTAGTTAATTGTAGTTAATGCATTAACTAATGAGACATTATTGTAAATTGTTTGGATAATTACACTCTGGTGTGTTTGTGTGGCTGGTGTTTGGTGTTTTTACTGCATGTGGTGTTGCCATGTTGAAGTCTCGGTTTTCTGTGTTTAAGGTTTATTTTTGTCAAACGCTTCTTCGGTCTTAGACTGATGTTGCGTTCTGTTGAACTGCATTACTGTGTGTCAACAGATGCGTGTATTTCATCACTTACGCTGGTATAACTGGCTGGGTTACCGCATTATGTGATTCAAGAGAACCATTTAGATTTTTAACTATTCAGCTTACAAACACTATGACTCAAGTAACATTCTCGTTATGATCCATCTGGTTAAAGAAAACATCTCTAGTTTATGCATGTAACCATGGTTCCCTGAGGGAACGAGACCTCATCGAAACGCATTGGGAATGCCTTCAGCGTGACCACGCTCTGAATCACATGTGTAATCAGTCCAATGGATGGGCGAGACGTCACGGGCAGGGTGACGTAGAGACCAGGAAGCTTAAAAGCACGTGCAGTAGATACAGCAGCAGCTTCTGGTAGAATGAGGGAAGCGCTCGCAGGGATGCCGGAAGTATGGTAATGAGATGTAGCGTCTCGTTCCCTTGGGAACCATGGTTACATGCGTAACCTAGAGACGTTCCCCATCAGGAACTCGAGCTGCTTCTAAACGCTTTGGGAACGAGTGTGCCTGTGCCACCAGACTTTCAAATCCCTGCATAGTGTGGAAGAGCACAACTAAGGCGAGAGAACAGAGGAGCTGGGAGTGGCATGAATATCGAGGTCATAAAACCTCACAAAGGTGAGCAGCGTAGATCAGCCCGCAGCGTTGCAGATGTCCTGCATCAAAACACCTGACAGAAAGGCCTTGGAGGCCACCACACTTCGGGTGGAGTAAGCCTTGACCCCCGGAGGCGAGGGGAGATCAGAGGACTCGTAGGCTAAACAGATGGCCTACACAATCCACCGGCTGAGGGTCTGTTTAGAGGCCGGAAGACCCTTCTTAGGGGGACCATAGCACACTAGCAGTTGGTCCGACCTTCTCCACAGGGCAGCTCTTATTAAGCTTATGCTGGTCAGGCTCCCGAAAGGGAGGAGGACAGAAGGCCTGCAGTACGACGTGCCGTGGTGCAGAAGAGGGAACTTTAGGAACATAACCCAACCTGGGGTAGAGAAAAGCTTTGGCGAAGTCGGGGGCAAAATCTAAATAAGAGGGGGCCACTGAGAGGGCCTGCAGATCACCAACTCTCTTGATAGAGGAGATAGCCAGAAGGAAGGTAGCCTTGAGAGTGAGAAAGCGATCAGAAATCTCTTAAATAGGCGAAAGGAGGTTTACAGAGAGCCTCTAGCACCACAGCCAAGTCCCACGGAGGGGCACGAGATCGTGTAACCCGGAAACGTGTAACCAGGTGGTCTCTGCCCACAGACTGACCACCGAGAGGGACGTGGTAGGCCACTATGTCTGCCACGTAGACCTTCAAGGTGGAGTAGGTCAACCCTGTGGAGAAACTCCAGAACTCCCGGGAGCAAAGCAATAGGGGGAAAAGCATACAGATGAAGCCTCCCGAGAGGAGCTGGATGAGTCAGAGAGAACCAGAGGGGACAGTGCGATGTCTCCTGAGTCGCAAACAGATCCACCTGAGCCTGGCCAAACAATCTCCAAATCTGACCCACCACATCTGGGTGAAGCCTCCACTCCCCGGGCCTCGGCCCGGTCTGGACAGGATGTCTGCTCCCTGATTGAGATGCCCAGGGATGTGCACTGCTCTCAGCGAGAGGAGTTTCCCTTGGGCCCACACAAGGTTCTGGTGCACCAGCCTGTAAAGGAGGCACGAACACAGACCTCCCTGGTGGTTGATGTTAAAGACCACCGCTGTGTTGTCGGTGCGCACCAACACATGGTGGCCTCTTAGGTCCAGGAGGAAGTGTCTCAGTGCTTGAAACACAGCCAGCATCTCCAGGCAGTTGATGTGCTATGTGAGATGGCGGCCGCTCAACAGACCATGGGCAGGGTGGCCACTCATGACCGCACCCCAACCAGTGAGGGACGCATCCGTCATTAGCTTTAAACAATGACAAGGAACTCCCAGCACCGGGCCCTGTGACAAGAACCAAGCTTTCCTCCACATGTCTAAAGCACGAAAGCATCGCCGCGTGACATTGATCATGCGAAGCGGATTTCCCCTTGGGGAAAACCCCTTGGTCTTTAGCCACCACTGTAGGGTCTCATGTACAGCAGGCCAAAAGGTATCACGTTGGACGCAGCTGCCATCAGACCCAACAGTTTTTGAAACTGCTTGACAGTGAGTGACCGGCCTTCTCTGACTCTCGCGACTGCGGTGAGGATCGATTCGATCTGAGCAGGAGACAGATGTGCCTGCATTGTGGTCGAATCCCACACTACGCCCACATAAGTAGTCCTCTGTAATGGAGAAAGCAAACATTTCTTGGTTTATAGTCTTAACCCCAGCTCTTTCATATGGGCGAGAACGAAATCTCGATGCCGAACCGCCATCTGCCGAACTATAATTGAGTATGCGGATGCCCTGGAGTTGCAGTGGAGCCACAGCAGCATCCACACACTTGGTGAAAGTGCGGGGGGAGAGTGCAAGGCCAAAAGGAAGAACCCAATATTGGTAAGCTTCGCCCCCGAAAGTAAACCTCAGAAACTTCCTGTGTTCGGGAAGGATGGAGACATGGAAGTATGCATCTTTTAGATCGATCGTGACAAACCAGTCCACGGACCTGATCTGAGACACAACGTGTTTGAGTGTGAGCATCCTGAACTTCAGCCACATGACTGAGCGGTTCAACTGATGCAGATCTAAAATGGCACGCAACCTCCCATCTTTCTTTGGAACGATGAAGTACCAGCTGTAGAACCCGGACTCTCTGTCGAGAGGAGGGACCACCTCGATGGCCTCCTTCCTCAAGAGAGTGTTTACTTCTTGTTCCATTACCAGAGCCTGCTTGGGGCCCACCAGAGTGGGGATCACCCCATTGAAACGAGGCGGAGGAGAACTAAATTAATGAGGTAACCTTTTTCTACAGTGTGCAGGACCCACTGAGACACATTTGGCAGAAGCTTCCACACTGTTAAATAGTCTGCTAAGGGAATCAGTCTCTCGAGACTGACCTCTGGTGTTATCAGAGCTGTTAGCTTGGTGCCCTGAAGAATGAAGCTCCGCAGATCCGGCTTAGAGACCCCGACTTAGAGCACCGCTACAAAACTACAGTAGTATCTCTGTGATTTCACCGAGCCGCAGACGGACTGTACCGAGGAATCACAGGATCATTCCTCTCTTCATCTCATCATCAGCGCTCATGTTCCTGCACTGTGCTCTCATCAGTCCGATTAACCCGTCCATCATCAGAAGAAACAATCCCTCCTTCTATCACAGCATCGTTTCATCTCAAAAGAATGGACTGGCAGATTGAAGGAGACACTGAAAACCCGAGGTCCGGAAAGTTCCATTATAAAAACGTGCGGCTTATTTGCATTTGTCATAAATTCCTGCGATGCTTTAGCAGTCGGAGAGGTTTGATCAGGAGCAGATGGAGGAAGCAGACGCCAGGAACGACAGCGACTCATTCACTGCAAACCAGTCCAGCGACTGTCGAGTGTTATTTTGAGGAGTTTACTCTGCTCGTCATAGAAAGTTTTATCCACATACATACAGTACACTCACATAAAGCAATATACACTATATAGCAAATCAACTGCTTGTTTGTTGATATTGTCACAAAATGTAACTGTAGTATCCTACATTAGTATCCTACATATATATACAAATAACATTTGACTGACTCAAGTTCTTCTGAACTGAATTCTTGCATTCTTATTCAAAGATCACAACTTCATTTAGACCTTTAAAGGGACAGTTCAACCAAAAATTGTTTATCGACCTCAGGTTTCCCCTAGTGAAAAATAAATATACTAAAATGTATTTGAAATACATTTATTTTATGCTAAGTATACTACATTTACATATTTATGTACTTATTAAAAATACCCTGCAATTGTACTTTTAGTATACTAAACTGCTCTGCTAAATTGGAACAATTAATTTTGTGCTTAATGAACTTTAATTGTGCGGAAGTCCAACTAAAGATATAGTGAAGTAACACTTCAGGTACACTTCAAATATCTTGCATTTAAAGACCGATATTATTCAAAGATCATATAGTCCTCATCAATAGTGACATTAAAACACATTTTAGGCTTAATATTAAGAAATGTGCATTGTGCACAAGTAGTACTCCAAATAAAGTTTAATTATTATTTTATATCTATAAGTCTCAAGCGATATGTCAATAAATATGTTAATAGATTTGAACTATACTTCATGAAATAAATGTATTCCAAATGTATAACTTCTTGACTAGGGTCTTTCTTCAAAAGAAGATATTTTGCAGAATGTTGGTGACCAAACCGTTTCTGATCCCCATTGACTTACACAGTATAAAAAAAGAAATCAATGGCTACCGTCAACTGTCTGGTTCCCTACATGCTTCAGAATATCTTCTTTTGTGTTCAGCAGAAGAGAGAAACTCATACAGGTTTGGAACAACTTGAGGGAGAGTAAAAGATGACAGTTTTTTTAAGGTCTATATTTTATTGCTTTACTAACCAGTCAATCACATTCAGTGTTTTTATTTCAAACCAAAAGCCAGTGAAAGGCATTTGAGCGTTCCGTGTATTCATCCTTATGAAGAGACGCCACCGTCTCTGATCTAAAGCGTGTTTTTTAAATATACAGTATGTGACCCTGGAGCACAAAACCAGTCTTAAGTGTCAATTTTTCAAAATTTAGATTTATACATATATACTAAATAATCTTTCCATTGATGTATGGTTTGTTAGGAGAGGACAATATTTGAAAATCTGGAATCTGAGGGTGCAAAAAAATCTAAATATTGAGAAAATCATCTTTAAAGTTGTTCAAATGAAGTTCTTAGCAATGCATATTACTAATCAAAAATGTAGTTTTGATATATTTACGGTAGGAAATTTACTGGATCATGATCTTTACTTAATATTCTAATGATTTTTGGCATAAAAGAGAAATGTATAATTGTGACCCATACAATGTATTGTTGGCTATTGCTACAAATATACCTGTGCTGCTTAAGACTGCTTTTGTGCTGCAGGGACACAGATGAGTGTCAACAAATCCAGTCTCAGCTGTCATCTTCTGCTTTAGCGTCTCGGAGCGGGTCTGTGTCTGTATGAAAGTGTTTTTCTGTCTTCGCAGCGGCAGAAGGTCCGGAGAGCTGGAGCCGTTCCTCCACGAGAGCAGAGAACTTCAGGAGGACGAGGAACCGCATCTCCTGGAGCTCCTGGAGAAGGTGGAGCACAAGCTGAAGAAGAAGCACCGCAACAAGCAGAAGAAGCAGCGCCATCGTCAGTTCAACGACCTCTGGGTGCGGATGGAGGAGAGGTGAGACCAGCACAAACCTGCTCAGCAACACCATTCACAAACTACCAGCGTTTCTGTGTACACGGCATTCTGAGAGGCCTGCGAGTACCTATGAGTAACTACATGTCAACTAACTCTCCTGAGAGTATTAGGGCCAGAGCGCAATTCCAAAACAGCGCCGATGAGCGTGGAAAATTCTGCGGGTGATTTACTAACAACAGACGTAGCATCTCATTTACATATCGACCAACGCAACATACCAAGCGCAGCACAAACTAGCGTAGTCGCAAATAAAGAATAAAGAAGCCACAGTACGATGAAAAGAACCGGAGGCCAAGAAATGAAGGCTTGCTGTATGTTTTGATGGAGCTGGTATTGCGTGACTCCTAGTTGAGGGTTCAAAGTCATCTTTTATTTCCTAAAGCAAATTAAAAATAACATGGCTTGGCAATTGATATGTTGGGATAATGTGTTCTTCTGGCATTCAAAATAAATTAATACGTGTGGAAAAAATCCTCTCTCATCTCTGCGGTGCCTCCTCTTCCTCTAGCAATAATTGCAGGCATTTCAAGCACAAAATAGTTTAAGACATGCTTTATTTGGGCGTTAAATAATGGCGCAAATACCAGTAATTTGCTGTGAGTAAAATGCGTTGCGTAATTCATTTGAATACTCTCTCCTCCCATAAGCTTTTCGTCTGAAAGGGAAACTCCTAGAAATGCATATTCAATAAAGTCAGGCGCAAAAATAACTGTCCATGCCTTTTCAGCGCTTATTCGTCACTGCGCGTCTTTAGTAACACCTGACAGTACTATCTTAGCTATTTTTATTTGAACGGTTTGCACTGGCGTAAGCTGTTAGTAAAACTGGTCCACAGACTGTTAGGTTAGGGCTAGTAGAATGTGACTAGTTGAATGTCCATCAAAATCAAATGTTAGCAGATATTAAGCAGACTTATACTAATACTCTAATGATTGCTAGTTGACAAGTTACTTACAGTTAGTAAAATCTCTCTAATGGAACCTAGTTTTTGTCATTATAAATTACATTTTATTTTTAGATTTTCTGTTTTCATTTAAATTTTAGTTTGTTTTGTTTTATGCGTTTGCCATTATTGTTTATTTTTATTTTTATACGCATATATTGTTTTTATTATAGATTTGTAACTTTTTAGTTTATTTTAGTACTTAGTATTTCAAATTTTAGTTTCATTTTTATTAATTTGTTTTTAAACATGCCTATAGTTTTTATTTTTAGTATATTTAGCCTAAAATAAAATTGTTTAATATTTTTGTTAATGTTTTAAATTTTATTTTTATTTACTGTTTTCATTTAAATGTTTAGTTGAGGTTTTGTGTTTTCTTTTGTCATTTTTATTAGATCGTTGTTTTTGTAAAATATGCCTATTTTTACATTTTATTTTATTTTTATTTCAGTTAATGTTTATCTTATTTGAAGTAAAGAGTTGTTTAATGGTTTTAAGGTTACTGATAATACCGTTGGTGGAGGTCAGTAACCGGTTAAACTCAGCGGTTCTCGTGTACTGTGGGAAGGATAACTGGATGACGGCTGGGATTACGGACGCTGGATCTGGCCTGCGGCTGCGGCTGCGTCTCGAGTGTCGGCCGGAGCGGCTGCGAGTCTGAGGGGAGACTCGCGCGAGACGCCCGGAGCACTTCAGCCGCATCTGTCCCGACACGAGTCCTCACCTGCTGCAGAGAAACGCTGAACATACTCGTCTGATTCTCGAGACGCGTCACAACCTGCTGAATATCATTCAGAGCAGTTCATTAATGAACACGAGTGGCATTATTTCCAAGCACAGATCCTGACTGAGAATCTCAGAGTGACTGTCCTCTGTGCTGGAAATGAAGCATTTGGTTCCAGAATTCTTCATCTGTACGAGCTATATTTAATTTACACCAATCAGGTTTTGAACAGACTGATTCTTGTTCCCGTGTCAAATCCCACACGACATGTTCTCTGCCGAGCCTGAACCGTGTTCTGGAAACTTGCTCGAATTTACTTTTTACAGTCACCCACGTAATTCTGAGCAAAAAAAATATTTCTTTAATAAACTGTTTATGAAAGCCAAGCGGGTCCCAGACGGTCAAAACAAACACAGGGTGCTGAATATAGACTTCATTTGTTTGAACCCGTGGAGGGAAACGGGCCGCAGATCCCGAACAGACAGAATCACGCGTCTCTGGATTTCATCGCGTCCACAGACGCTCACACACACGCACGCGTGTTGACACAGATGGAGGACGGGAATGAAATCCTCAAACTCTTTATTTGTGTTCCCCGTCCGTCTCAGCAGCTCTGACAGACTCCATTTACTTTCCCTGCCTCCTTCTTCATATTTCATAAACGAGCAGATTTCAGACGCTCACGTGACTGAAGACGCTGCGACGCTGCTGCTGTAAACACACGTGACTCCATCAGAAACCCTGAGGATCTGCAGGTGGAGTTCTTCTGAAAACACTGAAGCGGCTGATGTTTCAGCTGTAGAGGCGCAGTCCTGCGATAGATCTGAGTGACTGGGAACCATCTTCAGATTCGACCGACTCCTCCACATTTCGCTGCTCAGACTGAAATCTGGCAAATGTTTCAAACTGGATTTGGATAGTCATTAGATGATGATGATTAGGGCTGGGTTGAAAAAATATTGTTTTATTGATTTTAATCAATTCTCATTTTGATGAACCAGTATCAATTCTTAAATCCCAAGAACAGCTCTGTGCAGTTTTGAGTTGACGTGCGAACAAAACTCGATGAAACATTCACAAGCTTTGTTACTTTTGACATGAAACAAAGTCTCAGCTTTCAAATTCTGTCACTTCTGTCACTAACTGGTTTTGCTGCTCTTTAATGTGTGCCGACAGATCACTAATAATCTCTTCCTCTTTACTACTAGTTACAGCACCAAATAAACCTGAATGAACATCAGAAGATACAGAACAACTCACTGAAATGAATCATGAATCATGTAATCGATCGATCGGTGTTTCAGCCGCAGAAAGATGTCAATAAAACAGCTTCAGATCAATAATGTCACGTAACTCAGAAAAAAACATTTAATGATCATAAACTCTATAGTCAGCTAGAAAAATAACTCTAGAGAGCATTTTTGATTTTGAACACACTGGAGTAGAAATATATCATTCAAAATGTTCACTGTATGTCAGATGTTGTACATTGGATTGGATAACCATTAGATGATGATGATGATGATGATGATGAAGGCGTGTGTTTCTCATGATCGCTCTCTCGTTTCTCGCAGTGTGACGGCCGAGGCTCCGCCTCCTGTCGTCCGCATCATCAACGGTTACATCCCAGTCCAGACACACCCACAGGAGCACGGCAGAGCCAATCAGCACAGGACGTTCTCAGGCTCCTCCTCCTGGAGCCCCGCCCTCACTGCGACGGCTCTGTGTGTTCAGATCCTGCTGCTGCTGCTTTCATGACGTCTGATGAGCTGCAGGTTCGAGTTTAACCCTGAACCTCACAGACTCTGAGCCGCCGCCTGCTTCATGCTGGACTTACCGCTTCACTTCAGCTCTTGAAGAATCACTTTCTTGCAAATCAGATGTATTATAGATGTAATTTAGAGTTTTGAATAAAGCATTTGTTTGTTCACTTATTTTATAAATATATAAAGAAGAGTCATTATATTTTTTAGACTAAATCAGCTACTAACCAGCTTAACTGGCCTCAATCATGAAACAGCAGCAGCGAATTTCTGTTTGTAAACCCTTAGAAATCAAATCACTTCCTTCAGTTCAGTGACACTTTTTACATAAAAGCAGATTTACAAGCGATTTGTGCAGAAGCCAGTTTCACGTCAGAGGCCCGTTGAGTTTCTTCTTCTTCTTCTTCTTCTGTCAACTTCATGCATTTGATGATTGTTTAATATTGTGTTTATGACATAGAAATGAGTCATTTAATTTATTGAATAGATAGTGTTAGTTGAAGTAAATGTGTTTATGTGATCGTTTATGACAGAATGATACAATGTAAATCATATCTGGTGTTTGTGACGTTACAGTAATTATGTTTGTCTATGATGTTACAAGAAATAAAGTATTTATCTAGTTCAGGGTTCTCCAAAGGAAAGATGAATATAGATGTTCTGTTCCTCATCAGGTTCTTCTTGAACCAACGACTGGCGCCGCGACTCTTTGGAAGAGATCTTTTATTATGCTCTTTAAAATAAATCATAAGACCAATTTATGAATGGGATGGTTTATTTCTGGTTGCCAATGAATGTGTGAAAGGATTTTTCTTTGTAAATCATTCGTCACCAACAAAAACATTGTGGTTATTACCATAGCTGGGTTGTGAGAGCTGATCTGAGATCAGATATTTCTAATGGATGTCAAATACAAACAGAACACAGTTATGAGAGCATCTGAATGATCATTTTCTGTAAATGTGTGTGTTTGGCTGTAGTAAACCCTTAGTTCAGTCCAGATCTCTGCTGTCAGAGATCATTTATAATTAGCACACAGTTTATATCGGTGTATGAATCTGGACAGTGTTGGGGAAAGGTACTTTTAAAAGTAATGCATTACAATATTGCGTTACTCCCTAAAAAAGTAACTAATTGCATTACTTAGTTACTTTTTATGGAAAGAAATGCGTTATTTTACTTTTGAGTTACTTTTTAAATCTGGGCAGGGCTTGCTTGTTTGTTTTTAATATAAAAAGTTATTTTACTAATGTAAAAGCCCTTTTCACAGCAGAAGTGAAGTGAATCCGGCTCAGGCTGAAGGGAATGTAAATTCTGGTCTGTACAGTAGAGGGCGCCGCTCAAACTAACTACATGAAGAATATGCCGCAGCAGAAGAAAGTTCAGCACTATTCAGCAATAACTCAAATAAAACACAAATGTGTTACTTTTGCTTATTACTTTAACATTTAGTCATTTAGCAGATGCTTTTATCCTAAGCAACTTACAAATGAGGACAATGAAAGCAATCAAAACCAACAAAGGAGCAATGATACGCAAGTGCTATAACAAGTCTCAGTTAGCGTAACAGTACACGTAGCAAGTTTTTTTTTCTTTAATTATATAATAAATAAAAAGAAAACAAAGATAGAATACAAAAAGAATAAAGCTAGTGTTTTTTTTTAAAGAAAACAAGCAGTTAGTAAATAAATAGAGTATAAAAAAGTCTAAAAGGGGCGTTTTTTTATTATTATAAAGAATAGAATTAGAATAGAGAGTGCTAGAGTTAGAGGGTCAAATAAAGTTGGAAGAGATGTGTTTTTAGCCGATTCTTGATGACAGCTAAGCACTCAGCTGCTGGGATTGAGTTGAGCAGGTCACTCCACCAGCAGGGAACATTTAATGTAGAAGTCAGTGAAAGTGATTCTGTGCCTCTTTGGGATGCACAATAATGCATCGTTCACTTGCAGAACGCAAGCTTCTAGAGGCACATAACTCTGAAGTAATGCATTTAGGTGAAGGGGTGCAGAGCCAGTGCTGGTTGTGTAGACAAACATTAATGCCTTGAGTTCTATGCGAGCAGCTACTAGTAGCCAGTGCAGACTGATGAACAGAGGTGTTGACGTGCATTGTTTTCGGCTCATTAAAGATTTATCTTGCTGCCGTTTTATTAGTATGGTTAAATTGGATCATCGAAGGTCAGTAGCAAAGACTTTGGTTAATAAAATAGGATTAAATACATAAATAATATTTATCTTATTTAACATGTTTAATTATTGCAGGTTTGTCTAATATTCTGAGTTTGCATTCGACTGTTTTTACTGATTGTGAGGAGCACTGAATGTGTTTGTGTGCAGTGAGATGAGTAAACATGTTCATATTTAGTCTTAGATCATGTTCACACACAACGCTCTGCACTTACTCCTGATTTCTGTCACCATGGAAAAAGTTTAAAAAGTACTTGCGTTACCTGTAATGCGTTACCAACACTGATTCTGGATAGAACTCAACAAGCAACCTTCGATTCATAAGAGCAATGATAAAACCCAATAAAACAAACCAATGTCCAAAAGACCCAACACAAACTGAGAGCAAGTGCTAGTCCCAAAACTAGCGCACTAATGACCTACTGAAGAACATCCAGCCTTCAGCTGACCAGCTCAGCTCAGGTTTACAACTCATAGCAGTACCTGAACTAGACAACAAGCCGATAACACACCAGCCTGAAGCAGCAAGCTGTGGCCAGATTAGACTGACCCTCAAGCATGTAACCAACAGTCACCAGATGCGCCTGAAGAAACAAGCATGTGTCCAATAAAACCTGAACAAGCATTGCTGAATCCTGAATAATGAAGCACGGAGCATGAGAAGAGAGCTGAGCTGAGCTGGATCTTCCTCTGAATCTGAATCACATTCACTTAACTTCACCGACAGCGATAACAACACACGTCTCCGCTGACATCACATCAGCATTTCAAGATCTACATTCATCACAATGAGTCTTGTGTTATCAGGGCTTCTGCGGCTTTTATGATGGTCATTTTTAAGACATTTTTATAACCACACGCACAAAAAATATTATTATTAAAATATATATATTAATACTTCTTTGTAAACTATTATTTGAAGTAACAAACCCATGGTTAAGTTGTGGTTACCATGGCTACAAGAACCATGATTTTTGGTTTAATTGGCAGTAAAGCATGGCTGATTGTTGTAAGAGAGCACTGAAACTCAGAGAATATTAGATGTGCTTCTGGTGAAATTATTACCCACATTAAAACACCCTCCAAAAAAGTTTCACAGGATTATGAAGGTACCTGTAAGTGATGCACTCGCTTCATCTTGGCCTTTTTTCTTTCTCTTTTCTCGAGGTCTTTTCATGAGCATAGTGTCCATCAGTTATAATCATCTGCATTCAGCTGCACACATGAGGCGCGAGCGCTGGCCTGGGTTTAGCTCAGTGCACTGCATTTGTAGAAATAAACATCATTATTTCCGCTGCAAACCTACGCCAACTGAGAGCGTCTGCTCTGTCTGTGACTTTAACTGCAGACTGAGTCAAAAACTCATCACCAAACACCAGTGACTTACACACGTGTGCATTTATTTATTTATGTTTAGCTCAATTTAGGGACCGTCTCTATTTGTGTCTCTTTTTCAGAAACTAACAATAAACTATTTTAAAATGTAAATAACAATGAGATAAGAGCGAAAACGGGCTATCAACATTAAATCTAATTACATTATACGTTAATTATTGAACGTGCATGTCATCCTCTGAGTGCAGTAATTAATACTTTATTTATTTTTTAATCTAGCCTCTTATGAAGACTTCATATGCACCTGTGAATAGAGGACTCCAGATACAAAACGATGACACTTTCATTGCTTTAAAATGCACACAAAGTTTGCTTAAATGCATATAAGATATTTGTAAATACTATAATGTGTACTAGACTTTAACTGTTCTCTCTCATAACCACTCCTATAAACACTATTCTGGTTTCTGTAAAGCTGCTCCGAAACAATATGTGCTGTGAAATGTGTTATACAAATAAATATGAATTAAACTGAACGAGCCATTGCATTGTTGGTTACTGTACCATGTTGTAGATACAAGTTTTAAATACATGAATTATGTTTCCATCTTTGTTGCCACAGTTTTGGAAGTGCCTTTTTCTGTTCTAAAGAAGATGGTGTCCCAATACTTTTCTCCATATAGTGTATGTACACGTCATCAGTGTTTGGTGATGAGTTTTCGGCTCAAGGTCTGCATTTAAGGTCACAGCAGACCAGTCAAGTTCTTCCACACTGACTTCTTTTTGAACCTTGCCTTAAACACAGAGGTATACTCATGTTAGAATAGAAAAGGGTCCTGGTCCGAACTGTTGCTGTGAAATTAGAAGCACACAATTCCCTGGAATATCATTATATGCTCCAACATTAAGATTTGTACTCATGCAAATTACTAAAGTAGTCAAACCTGTTCATTAGAATGAGGGTGCCAATACTTTTGGCAGTTTACCCCGGTTTCACAGATAAAGCTTAAGCCTAGTCCCAGACTACAATGTAAACCTGAGCTGTTTCAACTTAAAGAAACTTGCACTGACTGATCTTAAAATATATGAGTGCCATTGCTTTGTCTCAAGATGCACACCAGTAATGTTTGTTTTTCTTAGGCACGTATATAAAAATTACTTAAACGTCCTAATTGAACTATGGCCTAATCCTGGTTTAGTCTAAGCCCTGTCTGTGAAACCAGGCCATAGAGTATCTGATCTTATAAGATGAGCTCCTTTACACCGAGTGCACCTGATCGAAAGTGAACAGCGAGCGCTCATTCAAAAGCGATTATTATTATTAGGAGCGGGCGGTTATGGTCAGAAATGCAGCGGGAGTGGGCATAAGAAAGCTGAAACGCTGTGATCAAACGCCATACTAACGCTGTTTAACACACAAACATGCTAAAACCCAAACAGTGAAATGTGTAAATATTACTATGAACTGCATGAACACGACAGACTGAACATGAAATGCATGAACACCAGCAGATGATCTGAACACGTGTCCGGATGAATCTGTGCTGAGACTGAACATCAGTAACATATGGCCCGTGTTTCTCCTGAACGGCTGGTAAACCCTTTATTGTGCTGTTCTACAACATGATTGTTTTATTAAGTGCATTTCTAAGATGTGCAAAGTACAATGATGTTACAGGAAGACACAGGCTAATGACTGACTGAAATGCTGATGAACGGAGTGGTTTATTGTCTGAATTTCTCTTCATTGATCTGGACAGATCCAGTAAACCCCCTGCAGGTCATCTCTGCAGTTCAGATTAAACCTGAGAAGTACATTTTGTGAAATATGAACAGAGAGACTCGGGGAAAAAATATTAATTTAAACAAACCTGAATTGACATCTAATTAATGAAACCATATTTTCAAATGCATGTAATTATAATTTCTTTATGTTTTGCATTTGTGAAACTCATTTGCTGCTGGTTGTGTTCGTTGTATTGCTGTGCTTCACATCAAACAGATCTTTGGGAAACAGAACAAAGCTTGGGCTCAGAAACATCTGTATGTTCAAACGCACACGCGTGTGAGGAGAAACCAGACAGAAACAGGTGCACCGGATCAAAGCAGAATATTAATCATCAGCGCAGCGTCTCTGTTCATCTCCATCATTACTCGAAAGCAGATTTTGTGGAAGTCAGAATGGTTTGGTTACCAACATCCATTCATGTTTGTGTGTTTCATAGAAGAAAGAAAGCGATAAAGGTTTGGAACGACATGAGAGGGACGTTTGTTGTTTGGTCCCATATGGCAAAAATACAAAATATGTGTATGTTATAAACAGTGAAGCTCAATGAAATCTACTTTTGAAATTGGAAATACACAGTTGTGTCATATTTTAGATAAATGCAGAAGTATAACGATGTATAATGATTTAAAAATGTTGTATATTTTATATATTGTAATATATATATATATTTTTTGTAAAGTATATTCCTTGCTGATTTTTATTCACGTGTTATGTACACACGTTTTAAACAAAAAAAAAGTTTTTCTTCAAATGTGAGTTTTCTAGGACTGAAATATACAGATGCCAAAACATATTTTAAATGTTTTTTTTTTCCAAAACACAAAAATTGCCAAAACATTTATTGGTATAAAATTGATTTTATATGACGATATTTTTTTAAACATACTTTAGCATCTTGGGCCCTTTTTTATATTTAGAAATATATTTTTACACACATATCTGAAAGTTTATATATATATGCAGCTGACTAATTGCATTTTCCAGAAATACAGAGTCACATGCACTCAAGATGAGTCATCAATGATTTTGTTCTCTTTTCCTATTAGAGAAAACATAAACATTTTAAATTTGACAAAAGAACTGCATCAATGTTGAGTAGTGCACGAGCACAGATGATGAAGATTAAACCATCAGCTTCTGATTGCTCCGTGCTGCTGAAGAGATGATGGGAGGATGTCTGCCGTAATGGAGACTGAGACTCGGCCTTCAGAAGACGCTCAGCATGAGCCTGAGGAATCTTCACAGATGAACACGAACACACTCTGTCCGATGGAAACTCTGTGAGGAATGTGTTGGTCAGAAACGGCCTCGATGAACACGTTTGTCACGCTCTTCTGCTGCAGTTCAGAACAGCAGCTCATGCTTGTCAAACCTAGAAAAACCGCTCTGAAGTATTACTCAGAGACAATGAAGCGCTGAGCGTGAAGAGCAGTCTGGACCAAAGCTCCGAGTCCACCGCATGAGCCGGACTTCCAGTAACCGGCCTGAAGCAGACGGACAGTCATGTGACCACATCACAACTGAATGAGCCTCAGTGAAAACAGCTTTAGTGAATCACAACCACTGGACCACACAGATCAAAACCATCGTGTCAAAGCCAAAGAAACTACAAAAAACACACTAATGTGACAAAAGACATGGGCATGCTAACAGAACAGTCTGTAATGATCATAAATGACGATCACACCTCGTTCACAAGCGTACCGTCAGAAATCATTCAGCTTTACAGACTATACAGCTTTATACTTCAGGATTCAGCAGCTGCTCTCATTTACCACAGAAATGTTCCAGCTACAGTTAAACATTAATTAATTCAAACGGACAATAAGCTTTCATATATATAATTAACCAACCACATCATTAACTCAGTAATGTGATGCAGATCATAAACTTCTGATTCCAGAGATGTGACGCACTTCTAATCAGTGTTATTTTAGTATCAGTAAGATACTGCTTTTAATTCAGATTTCATTTTTTTATTTGTATCTTTCCTGTTTTCTTTTTTATTTTAGAGCTTTATTCAATTTGTTGTGTTTATCTATATATATATGTGTGTGTGTGTGTGTGTGTGTGCGCGTGTTTTATATATATATATATATATATATAGGTTAAATACAGATTTAAAACAATAAGAAATATTTTAATAGCTGTGTTTTTTAAATCAAATCCTTGCACAGCTATGACAGAAAACATCTAACAATGCCTTGGAAAAAGCAGTTGATCTTAAAAAATAAAGCATATAAAGTACATAAATCAAAATAGGAAATAAAACAGTTATCAAATAAGCACGTGTGCTATTCTGAGTCCTAAACTCCTGAAACATTGCGGTCTCATATTTTAGAGCAGTCGATGCACCTTAGAAAGAAATCAATCAAATCTGTACAGTATGTGTGTGAAAATATTCAGATGTAACTCCCTTTGTAATCATTAACATTTTCATAAGTAGCTAATTTAATTACACTTTCCTCAGTAACTGTAACAGATTACAGTGACATTTATTTTGTAATTCTGTTACATGCAACTGTAATGCAAAAGTAACAATCTATTACTTTTCATAAAAAGTAACTAAGTAATGCAATTAGTTTTGTATGTAGTAACACAATATTGTAATGCATTGCTTTGAACTCTCCCCGACACTGTAATCATCACACTGTTGTTCTGCGCACGCTGTGTTCATCCAGCATTACGGTCTCTTCTCATCCGTCTGAAGAACACTGTGATGTTTGAGAAGACGGACCTGCAATCAAACTCCAGTGAGACAAACTCCTGCCTTTCATCTTAATGCTTGTTTCCGGGGAATAAAGCCTGTTACGGCTGTCACAGGACTCTTAAAGTCAGGAGGATTCGTACAGAGCTTTTTATAATCCATGTTTTTTGAAAGCAGTTTTATAGAAAATGTCTTAAAGACTTACTGAACATCATCATCATCATCATCACAAGCCACAGATCTGTGCAGTAAAACATCACGTAAGCGTTTCGGACTCCTCTCCACAGCACTGCTGATCTGATGAACCGAGACTCAAACCCAGCTCAATACACGGATCACGCTTAAACATAAAGCTGCTTACACGGGTCTGCACAGCGATGCCACACAAGAACCAGCTCTTTCTTGCCTTTCTATAATCTGAAGAACCTTCTTTGGCCACAAAGAAGCTTCTGTGAAACAGAAAGGTTCTTCAGATTCTTAATGGAACCATTTAGACAGAAAAGGTTGTTCTCTGGCATCGTGAAGCACCTTTGTTTGTAAGAGTAAAGCTGTGCAGTCTGGAGTGAAATGAGCGGGTCTGGTGTTCAGGACATGGGTCCGGCGTCTCTCACCTGTGTTTTTAATTAAAGCGTCAGGAGCGAAGTCGATCCCGCGCTAGAGATCGTCAATAAGTGCTTTGTGCCGTCTGCGGCTACAGGTCATTTACAATTAAAATCCAAGAGTTTCATAAACGCACACATTGTGAGGCCAGTTTTCCTGAGGCTCGACCGATCAGAACAATCCTCTTTGAATGACGGCGCTCATTTCTGAAATGACATCAGCTCTGGGCTGGATCAGAGCCAGGATTGCGACACGCTTCGGCTAATGTTTCTGTTCTGAGCGCATGAGAACAAGCTCGTCATCGCGGTGATCTCCACGAGATGCGACGCCAGTTTTGCTTCCACAAGACGAACCATCTCTTTCTTGCCTGTTTACAATCTGAAGAACCTTCTGTGAAACAAACAGATACTTTATGGAACCATTTAGACACAAAAGCTTCTTCTATGGCATCGTGAAGCATATGCTTCTCTAAAACCAGCACTGTTTACGAGTCCGTTCCCTCTCAAACCTTCCTCCTGATCTCGTAAACCGCACAGGAGCACGAGAACACGCCAGACTTGATGTTTTATCAGTGAGGAAACACCTGGCGAAACGCAGAGCGAGTCTGAGATTAATAAACAGAGAAACGTACTTGATCAAACAGCCAGTGGAGATTAATGAACTCTGACAATGAAGAGACAAATGACTTCTGACCTCAATACAAAACTAAGAGCAAAGCTGAAAGATTGACTGGAGGATCTCTGAGCTTCAGGTGCTCAAACACAAACACAACCGTTTTCACCTTCAGAGGCCTGTTTGACGAAGCCGCTCCGCCTGCTCACTCCTGACCGCAGACACTTTCTGACATTTACAGATGAAGGATATAACCGTGACAAAGGTCAAGCCGCTCACAGGGGTCAGAGGTCACGATTCGTTTGGGCTTAACCTGTAACAGTGACATGACGAACATCAAGAGCAAAAAAGCTGTAGAAATCAACTACAGAGCTGGACATCTCTTCTAACGCTGATTACGAGAAGCAAAGAGTCTCGTTACGTTCATCTCGTTCATTTGCATTTGTGACCGCAGGCGTCCGCAGCTGCGTTTACGGTAATGAGGAATAGATCATCGGCTACGGCAATCAAACAAAGAACAGCCGTGATTTTGAAACATATACAAGCTTTATTTACAACTTGAAGAACAACTGTACAGTTTTGCAGCGCTGGAAGCACAGATTCATCAACAGCGTGTGAATGAGACACATTATGAATCGCATCTAACCGGTTCCTCCAGCCGCGCGCACATACAGTATGTACATATTGTATACAAGCAATATAAAACTTGGCAAATGCGGCGAATATTTGCTATAGACGAATGTACTGAATCAGAAGTACTGATCAGGTGTTTCTCTGCTCATGGACGGTTGTGTTTAACCTCTGAACTCATGAGAAACGCATTCAATCGCCTGTTAAAAACCACACAAGAACACTGCTGGAGTAAAATATATACCGATCACGTCTCGTCCGGCAATCGCTGTGCGCTATTACGTGAATATTTAGTAACAGCTGAAGAAGAAAAGCAGCAGAGCAGGTTTAAATGTCAGACTATGTACTGCTGCGGTTTGTAACATTGTGTCAGAATCATCATCAAAGCACTTACTGATTTAGATTAAAACAAACACTGATTCTACTGAAACACATCCAGCATCGGCTGATGAAGCAGGTGTGACGAGACTCGTTTGTTCATAGACTACAGAAAACACTGAATCACTCCACAATGATGCGGCTAAAATGAAAACATGTCGGAGTTCATCCGTCTTTAAAGCGTAACAGCCACAGCCACGCGCCGACAGCATGATTGACAGGCGCCGGCCCCACCCACTTCTGATCGGGAGGACAGCGGTTAGCAATCTGGGTTAGTTAGTGTGCAGCGATGGGTTAAACTCAGCAGCATGAGCTCAAATCACACTCAGTCATGCAGCCCCGCCCCCTGCCGCTCATGCTTTAACGTCACTGTGAAAGAGAGAGATTGACAGGTGTCAGTCAGTCAGTGATTGACAGCAGCGTGAGTCTGTATTAAGGCATTGGGAAGGAATCAACAAAACAAGCAACAAGAAGCACCCAATTGCTGGAAGTTTAAATAAACATCACGTCTGATGGTGCAATGTCCTCTCTTTCAATGCATAGATATTAAAGGAGAATAAAGAGGACAGAGTAAAAGAATGAAGAGGGAACAGCAGCTTAGACCAATCTAAGAGCAAATAAAACACTGTGCGTCAGTAACAACCCTTAAAATACTGCAAAGCCTCCTTTAAAAAGCATCCGACAGGAACGGACGTCTGGAGTGTGTTCATTCATTAATGCGGATAGGTTAAAGTGGGCGTGTCCGGATACCCAGAATGGTCAGATCAGTAGAGAGGCGGAGCATATTAAGACAGCGAGGATGGGGGGGTGGGTGGAGTCGGGCGTCGTGATTGGCTGCGGTGAGGGTTGCCGTGGTGACGCTCTACCTGGCTGCGGTGGGCTGCACGTGGCCCGGATACACCCGGCGAGTGTTGGTGGCCTGTCTCTGCCGCGCCAAGAAAGACTGACCCGAACCCGTGCTGGCCAGCCGGTCCTCAGCCGCCTTCTTCTGCAGCGCCATCCCCTAAACACACACACACACACACACACACACAGATCATGATTTAACCCTTCATATCTGACACATCTGTTACTGTGCTTAGTGTAAGTACACCACCTAGTGCACACTACACCTGTACTAGAGTTGTCTATAGGGGTGTGTGATAATATATCGTCTGCGATAATATTGTAATTGTTGTTTTAAGGATGTGCAATTTGACATTATCAAGTATATCGCAAAACCAAACAAAACACACCTACAGTGCACGCTTGCATTACATGATGAAGTCTAGTAGGTTAGACTAGTGCGCGTTCTTTCACTGCATGATGCAGTCTATTAAAAAGCATTAAGAATGATCACATACGGGGGGTAGACAATGTATATATTTATATCATTTCATATAGCTAATCAATATCATACACAGAGTGCCATTTTTTTCTCCAAAAATCTCCAAATCTGTTTTTGCTCTATTTCGGCAACAAAAATATTTCCAAACACAGCTACAGCACTGTTTCGCGTCTCTGAGCAACATGACGGTGTTTCGTTCCTGACTGAATGAATCTTCAATTTAAATCATTGGTCTCAAACTCAATTCCTGGAGGGCCACAGCTCTGCAGTTTAGCGCCAACCCTAATCAAACACACCTGATCCGGCTAATCAAGCTCTTCAGGATCACTAGAAACTTCCAAGCAGGTGTGAGCTGGAGCTGGTTGGAGCTAAACTTGAGTTTGAGACCACTGATTTAAATTATTCGGTTCAACAGTGTCTAGCTGCCACCTGCTGGCGGTTTTAATTTCACAGTTAAAGTATCTTTTCATTTTTTAAATAATTTCAAATATCAGTATTCCAACGTTTTATGTTTAAAATATCAAAACATTATTTATGCATTTTGTAACTGCAGGTTAAATGCATTGAAATCCCAGACAATATCGAGATATCATTTATTTTTGTCAATATCACACACCCCTAGTTGTCTAGTACTCTGACTCGCCAGCTGCAGAGATTTTTGAATGACAATAAGGTTTTTGATGTTTTCCAGTCAGGTTTCAAAAAGTTTCACTCTACAGAGACAGCACTTGTAATAGTTTTAAACAAAGTTTTAATGGCCACTGACTTTGGTGACTCTGTTGTACTGGTACTATTAGATTTAAGTGCGGTAATTGATACAGTTGACCATGAGGTCCTGCTTGGTTAGAACAAATAGAAGCTTCGCAATCAATATAGGAGGATCCCCAAGGCTCTATTTTGGCCCCTTTATCATTTTCTCTATATATGCTTCCTTTAGGCTCTATTTTTGAAAAGCATGGCTTGTACTATCATTGCTATGCAGACGATACTCAACTTTATTTGCCCTGAAGCACAACAATGGCTTAGACTCCCTCTGTGCCGGTCTTTCTGATGTCAAAGCCTGGATGTCTTTACATTTTTTTAAATCTAAATGAAAGTAAAGCAGAGATCATTGTGTTGGCTCTTCTGAAGTCCTAAACATTTCTTATTTAAATTCTGCTGTTTTATCTTCTGAAGTTACATCACGTGTTAAAAAAAAAAACTTGGGCGTCGTATTTGATAGTGCACTTGAATTTGATTTAGTTGTCAAATCATGTTTTTACCAACTGCAATTCATGCATTTATTTCTTCTAGAATTGATTATTGTAATTGCGAACATATTACTCCTGTTTTAATGTCTTTACATTGGCTCCCAGTCCGCTTTAGAACGGATTTTAAAGTGCTTCTGCTTGTTTTTAAATGTTTAAATGGCCTCGCTCCCTCTTACCTTTCTGACTTGTTGCATGAACATCATCTGGTGAGAACACTTAGGTCTGCCAACCAGAGTTTGTTAACTTTTCCAAAGTCAAAATTAAAATCCAGGGGTGATCGAGCTTTTGCCATAGCCACACCTAAGCTTAAAAACACTTTACTAATCTATATTAGAACTGCACCAACATTACATATTTTTGTAATCAAAGTTAAAAACGTATCTCGTCACTATAGTCTATGACTTGTGATGTCGTTGTCTGCATATATACATGTTTTTATAAGTCTTTTTAAAACATTGTTCAGTACAGTGGTCAACTGTGCTTTATTAATAAACTGAGACTGAGACAGATTTTTCAATACATACTGATTCTAAATATATCTGAAACGGTTTAATACTTTTGTTTGCAGTATCCATTCACTTTCTCTCTGACAGTCAGTTGTGACACGTGTTTGAATAAAATAAGTATGCAGTCCGTTGCACTGCTTGTTCATTACTACACAAGCAACACACAACTCCTCCTCTGCATGTGCTGCGAGTTTAACGTGCATGAGATGCATCTGTAAACCTGTGTGACAAAAACTTAAAGAACTTCCTGCAGTTTTTTACCAAAGTAAAAGCTTGAGATTATCATGTGGTGACAGCACTAACCCTCAGCATAAGCTAGCATCAGAAGGGTTTATCCAGACAGCTAGAGGAGAGGCAGGGCTCAAGTGCAGTGTAAGGTTATGTTCTCATGTTCTCGTGACCGTGCTGATACGCACCATGTTGTACCAGGCAGATACGATGAGTTTCTCCTCCTGGTCTCTCTGAGACTTCGTCTTGTCGCACTCCTTCTGCACACAGAAACACAGTACAGTCACGTGACAGAGCGTGTGTGTGTGTGTGTGTGTGTGTGTTTAATACTTTTGTTTGCAGTATCCATTCACTTTCTCTCTGACAGTCAGTTGTGACACGTGTTTGAATAAAATAAGTATGCAGTCCGTTGCACTGCTTGTTCATTACTACACAAGCAACACACAACTCCTCCTCTGCATGTGCTGCGAGTTTAACGTGCATGAGATGCATCTGTAAACCTGTGTGACAAAAACTTAAAGAACTTCCTGCAGTTTTTTACCAAAGTAAAAGCTTGAGATTATCATGTGGTGACAGCACTAACCCTCAGCATAAGCTAGCATCAGAAGGGTTTATCCAGACAGCTAGAGGAGAGGCAGGGCTCAAGTGCAGTGTAAGGTTATGTTCTCATGTTCTCGTGACCGTGCTGATACGCACCATGTTGTACCAGGCAGATACGATGAGTTTCTCCTCCTGGTCTCTCTGAGACTTCGTCTTGTCGCACTCCTTCTGCACACAGAAACACAGTACAGTCACGTGACAGAGCGTGTGTGTGTGTGTGTGTGTGTGTGTGTGTGTGTGTGAGAGAGTGTGTGTGTGAGAGAGAGTGTGTGTGACCTCGAGTGAGTGAATTATCCTCTCTCGCTCATGCAGCTGGTTCTTCAGAGCCTGAACCTCAGGAGCAGAACCCTGATTCTGTTTGGGGTCCAGCGTACGAATGACCTGCACACAGAAACACACACACACACACACAAAATCAGCATCAACAGAAACATCAGCATCACACACGCAAAAGAGTGTGTCAGACGTACGCTCTTGGCTTTCTCCAGGTATTTCTTGTATCTCTCCTCCATCTGTTTCATATCTTCATCCTTCTTCTTCAGTGCGTCCTCCAGCTCTTCAATCTTCTGAACTAAAACCAATCAACAAGCTCTCGTTTAACCACAATCTGCACACTCACACACTCAAGCTGTCGCTCACACACACACACACACACACTCACTCACTCACTCACTCACTCACTCACACT